GGTTTCCAGAGAATTTACAACATTCTTTCTGCAGTCAGCAATTTTTAAAAACTATTTTATGGTCGTTTATGGTATCCGCCTGCGATTGCTGAGATCTAATCTTAACATTACATTTTCTTTAGTCTGTCTTTTCACACTCACATAGGCCTGGCATACTCGAGTGGCAGCTCGTTGGAGATGTTGAGGTAGTGCGGCACCGGGGTGGTGCACAGAGAGTGGTTGCTGGGCTGCGTGCAGTTAACCATCTCTAAGTCACCTGGGATCTCCGTCGTGCTGACGCTGAAGATAACAAAAAAAAAGAGGAACAGAACAATCATTACTAATTTTACAGGATCGTCAGCCTGAAAATTGAGTGGATCGGCGCTCCATTTCCTGTCTGATAATAACGTTTGCCATCCAACTTCCATCGAGAGAGCAAGCGCGCGCACACACACGCACACACACACACACACAGACACGTTCTCACTGCACACACATTCATGTGTGTGCGTGTGTGTGTGAAGTGCGCGCAAAACAACATAAACGGAGTCGTAAACCGTTCAGTTTTGCGTGGACAGTGCGGAGCCATCCCCCTCTTTATTGCTCGCCAACAACCTCTATACTAGATCGCCTAGGAAATAAAAACCCCAGCGGCAGCTCTAATTTTATATACTTCCTCATTTGGCCAAGCACTTCCGGCTTCCGGCCTCACTGCGGATGTAAACGGGACTAAATGTGTGGCACCCTGCACAAACACGACGCCCACACTGTGAGAAAAACCTACGGTCTAACAACGGTCTTGGACCGTCAATTATTAACCAATGGCAAACCGTTCTTGGACCGTACCTGGTACGGTGTGATAACAGCGTCTCATTGTTATTTTCACCGTAGGATGTGATTTCGATTAAAAAGTAAATAGCCACATAGCCAATAGCCACATCCTACGGTGAAAATAACAGTGAGACGCTGTAATCACACCGTACCGTACCATGCTGTCAAATCCACGCTGTTATCTCACCGTAGGTAGACCGTTATTTTTTACAGTGCAATGCCAGAGACCCGGGGATTTTTTTTATTTTTAACGTAAGTAGTCTTCTACGAACAAACTAAAAATTTTGGAAATAATTAAATCTCTTGCACTTTTCCTTGAAATTTAACTTACTACTAATAAGTGTTTAACTTCGTAGTGGTACACTTGCAAAGTGTTCAGGTCGGTAGTTGTGTAACTAGTTGTAAGTGTGTGTAACCTCTCTGTTTAACACTTGCCAGATAGTAAGCATCCAATTCACATGAACTTTCGAATGGAATTACTTGAAACACTTGCAGGTATTGACACTGTGAAAAAATGGGGAGGTTTACAGGAAAATTTTCCTTATGGAAATTGACGCAAGTTATAAAATTACCATTTGTAATCGTAAAAGTACATGCAGTCCGTATCGACTTAAAATCCATTGGCGAGTAAAAAATTGCGCTTTCGTAAATTAACGACTTTCATTATAATTCGAGTTTACAAAAAATTGTTAATTTACGACGATATTTTTCAGTGTGAACATGCAGTTGCACACTTACACGTGTTAAGAATGCGTTGTCCACTTGGTTTATCAGTGCAGACCACCACGGCCGTGCCTCATACGTCTCTAAGCAGAGTGAGCAACCTCCCAGGATGATGAAGTTTGGGCGGAGCAGGAGCTGGTATTATGAAATGTCTCGACACATATTTTTGGCGCAGTTGGCTGATATTATTCATGCGAGGGTCGAGCCACGGTCCGGGGTACATGCAAATGCACGCTGAAGTGGGGAAGGAGGTGGACGATCCGAGAGAGAGAGAGAGAGAGAGAGAGAGAGAGAGAGAAAGAGAGAGAGGGGGGGGGGGGGGGGAGAAAGAGACAGAGATCCAGGCGGAGCCGTCATGAGATGTGGCGGGTTGGGCTCTCATGTAAATGCCATGGTCATTACTGTCAAATGTCAGGCGGCCTGCCAGCCGCCATCCTCTCGCTCCTCAAGCACGCGACGTATGCTGGCCCCACCCACCGAAGTTCTCCATGCGAAGCGTACTTAACTTAACTTTTACCTACATAGCTCTACTTAACTGAACCTTAACTTTTACTATTCAAAAGTTACTTTAAAGTATACGAAGTATTACAAATTTTGGACAGGCGGCTGAAATGGACTTAATTTCTACATAAAGTTAACATTTGGAAGTTAACATTCATCAAGTATACAATAAAGGGCACAGGTGCATTATAAGCAAAACTTTGATGGGGATGAGAATTTCATGGCTAGTTATTTTTACAAACATCTCGTCGCTGATTTCTCGTCATTTCACGAAAATTCGTTTCATATAACGAAAAAATCCGTAAATGAGATTGGTTGTAAAAACAATTAGCCTTAACATTCTCACTGTCAACAAAATTTTCTTTTACTGTGTGTTCACATTCGATAATCGCAGGGGCCACAACGCGTTAGCGAAGCGAAGGGAGTAGGCAATACCGCAACACGGCATTCAAAGATGCACAAACCGCAGGTACAGTGTACTACAGTGTTGCCACTAGCATAGAGTCTGGTGGGTCTTCGGAATGAAAGAGGTTGACGGTGGAAAGAAGAAAAAATTCGGGGGTTGGTAGGCCATTTATCCCCCCCCCCCCTTTACCATTGTATGTGTCTCCCGGCCGGGATGTCGAAGCTCGACAGAGAGACCCACAGCGCACACCAGACCAGTGGTGGAGTTGTTCCGCCGAGCACCACCCCCTCACCCAGTCTTCTCTCTCCCTCTCTCTCTCTCTCTCTCTCTTTCGCGGCTCGAGCATGCATTTCCCCCTTCTCTTATTTCCCCCCCACCCTTGCCCGCAAACACTCTGAAGCTCTCAGCAAAGTAGGTAAGAGGGAGACAGGCGCAGACAAGGACAGAGAGACGACTAGGGCTGAAGGAGGAGGGACTTGCATCAGGGTATTGAAGTCTGGTCAGGCGACTCGCCTCGCCTGTGGTTGGTCCACCGAGCTACCGAGATACTTGCTTCGGCGAACAGGCCGTCACCTAGTCCATACATCCTGGGGTACACGGACCTCGAAAGAA